AAATCAGCAAAAACAGAGCTACCTAAAGAGTTATTATTATTTAGGGTGTCTTAATGAAAAAAATGGGACTTTGATTAACATCTTGAAATTGGGACCAAATAGAAAGAAACTAAGAACGTCGATACATTCTGCTTTAAAAAAGTGCTTCTAGAAAGTTTTCCCAAAAATCAACTATTTTCATAAACAAAAACGTTATGAAGGCTTCACAGTATTGCTCAAAATTGAGAAATGCCCTCTAGCGGCAAAATGGTTGAAAATATCAAAATGCGGTTTACACCAATAAATTTTTCATGAAATTTGAACCCTAGATTGGGGGGTTCATTTTTTTGTATCTCGCTCAGAAATTGACGTTTCCTACTAAAAGTGTCAAAATTGGACCACCCTGTACCTACTTAATTTAAAAATATTTAAAAAATGCACCAACTTTTTAACGAATCTGATAAAATTATTAAAAAGGTATTTTAAAGTTGTTTTGAAAGCGAAATACTAAATTGGATATATTATGTAAATCCGCCCTCCCTTGTCTTACAGTGATACATGTTTTCACATGTTCATTGCAGCCCCTTTTGTAGAATATATAAAGTTTTCTATAAATGTACATATTGTTTACCTAAGCAGCAAATTCATAAGAAGAATATATTCAAGGTTATTGATATTATAATATTAGAGAAACTTTAAATATAATATGTACCAGGTGATTGTCTATATTTTGCACCCACACCTATCTCACCTGTTTGAAGAGATACTCAGAATGTGAAAGTTGTTAGTTACAAGTATACAGGGTGTGTCACGAAAGTGTGGCGAAGCAAAGTTATACTTTTTTAAATGAATAACCCCATATATTATTGTCCCATTGGATTAGCCTTTCAAATCTGATTCCAAATATACTAGGTTTTTTAAGTTTATTCCTAATAGTCCAGGAGAAAATAGGACAAAAATGGGTGGAATAATTGCATTTTTATTGAAACAGGTGAAGTATAGCACCAGCAAATAGGGAACTTGCAAGTGGAATAAAATTTTCCAAATTTGTTTTGAATCAATAGTTTATACAGCACAATTTTATATGACAAGTTTTAATTTAACTGATACCGCCCTTGTTACACAAAAAATAACACTAAATTTTAAATAAAAAATTTACCGCTAAAAGAAAGCTTCTATGATTTTTTGACGTCACGATTTTGTAAACAAACCTGTCAATAGGGAACTTGCAAATGAAATAAAATTTACAAAAGCAGTCCTTTACAATATTCTTCATCCATTGCGACAACACAAAAATAGCACTGCGTGAGCAGGAGTTCGTTTGCTGCGTTTGTTGTTTACAAAATCTTGACGTCACGAGCGCTGTCATATTGGGATTTCGTGTTTTCGCGCCAAAGTTTTTGATTTGAATTTCAATATGTTTTTTTTCGTACAACGTATAAATTGAAATGGAAAAAAAGAGAACTATATAATATTTGATCCCTAGAAGTATCTTAGTATCTAAGAAAAAAATAATTTGAGAAATATGGAAATTCCCTATGATAAAGGTAATCATTCATGTAAAATATCCATATTATTTGTTTAAAATGGTATATTCAGAGGCTAGACTATGAGGAATAAACCTAAAAAACCTAGTATATTTGGAATCAGGTTTGAAAGGCTAATCCAATGGGACAATCATATACGTGGTTTTCTATTTAAAAAAGTATAAATTTTCCTCACCACACTTTTGTGACACCCTGTAGAGTTGTAACTAAAATCATTAAAAACTTTCTGATATTATTTACAACTTTCACCTTTGACATTTCTCGCTATATCTTCAAACAGGTGAGATAGGTATGGGTGCAAAATATAGACAATCACCAGGTACGAAGAATAACTAAGTAATAAAAATTATTTTACCTAATAATATCCCTGCATAAATATTTATACATTTTTTTGTCAGCTCTTTTTCAGATAAATAATAATGCTCCATGCATGTTCAATACTCATGCTTTCTCTTGTATCGTTTTAGGGTCACTTTTTTCAAGCATATGCCAAACGATTGTAAGGAAGAATGGTGGAACTTAATAGATTTTTTTTTTTTCTCAGCTCTTTGTCAACTAAATAATATGCTCCATGTCCGACACTCAAGCCTCTTGATATATAGTCTCAGAATCACTTTTTCTAGGGATATGTCAAATGGCTTGTGTGAGAAAATGGTGGCGATTTTCATAAAATTTCTGCAACTTTCCTATGTTCTGAAAATTTAGGCTGAAAAAATAGGCCACGCTCGAGACTCAAGCCATTATTTTTTTCCAGACTCTTTTATTAATAGATTTTTATTGAAATTAATTTCGTTCATGGGAAAATAACTGAAAAATCGAAAGAAAAATCGGTCAAATTTTCCGACCTGAAAATGTACTTATCCATTCCTGCCACTCAAGCCAATATGTTTTTCGAGCTAGTGACGATGAACGTTTTCATACTTCCGATAGGCTTGTGTGCAAAAATCGGTCGAAATTTCGATTTTTTCTTACAAGATAAGGCCCTTTTTTTAACCCTTCAGCCACCTGCAGCACTCAAGCCTTTGGTTTCCCGAAGCTAGGTTTTCAATAATTAATCATTTAGTGAACATGGCTTGCATGGAAATATAGGCAACAGAAACCTTTCATTTCGGTGAAGGAAAATCGAATTTTCCATATTTTATCCCCAGGGGCGACTCGTAAATTTCACTTCATTCTACTCAACAGCGAAGTACTTTTCAACCCTCTTCGAGGCTTGTATGCGAAAATGGGGCACCTAAATCTGTCACTATCTGACGGTCTATATATAAATCTCTCGACAGTAATGAAACACTTCCCTACTCGGTATGTAATATACTATTATCATATTTTATTTAATGTGTAAAAAGAAAAATGTTTTTTAATATAGGTACCTACATTTGAGTTTTGATTTTTTTTGTGATATAAGTGTTATTATCAAATTAATACATTCGTCGTATAAGCCTGGTCAAATGATTTTCAGATTTTGATTTCAGAGCAAACCTAACGCGCTGATCAAATTGATGTATGATGAAGTCAATTGAACCATAATAAAAATTTAACACAACATGGCAGACGTATTAATGACGTAGTCCCACGTTATTTTTACTATTGTGAACTCGTCTTATTCAAGTAAAATCGTGTATTTTTACATAATTTTACGTAATCTCACAAAAAAATTGAAAAAGTCGTCAACATCAGCTTGATGTTTGAGCCATAGGTATGCAGAGGATGTGAGCGGAGGAACCATAGAGTGAATCACCAATTTCGCAATTGCGACGGCAACGGTGTTTAGAGAGTCCGGGAAAACGTTAACTGATTTATATGGTTATACGTTAATAATTATATTTTATTAATAAGAAATAAACAGATTTTCATTTCCCATAACAATGGTACAAATTTTTCGAAACCCTAATCCAACACCCTTCTAAACTAAAATAAACAATTCTACATTGATACAGTTGTACAGCCACCTCTGCACTGTCTCTGAGTTTGTGAATCAAATGATGCAATCAAAAAGCCTTGTGCTTTAATAACCCTTTCATAAGTTTCATATAGCCCTACTACGTTAGGTACAATATTTTTAAATCCTAAACACCTTTTTCACCTCAAAACAGTAATTCATAATTTAGTTTAATTATTCTTCCTAATCTATAAACGTATAAAATCCCTGAAATTGCTTACTGCCAAATTTTTGAACAATACTTATACTCACAAATCGTGTACTTAACCATAACCAGAGTAAATACTATCAAAGCAATGAATATTCTATCCTAATTCATTTAATTAGAAACCAAAATATCTAAATAATCATTTGCTAAACGAGACAAAACAATCAGTTTGATTATCCAATCTTTTCATTAAAATTCATTTCAACTTGAATTATATTTCTCTATTTATACTAAGCACAAAAATATTCAAAGTCAAATAATTCACTCAAGATAATAAAAGTTATGCTATAAAGTTTCATAGTCAATTCACTTCATAGTCATTTCAATCATTGATAAGGTCAAAATAACACTTGTCACTAGAGTACTAATATGGTGGTCCTTTGACCATCTGTAATTCAATTCTATTGGTCGACCTAGATATTATTTCAAAAATTTCAACTTGCTCATCGGATTATGATGAAATCTGTGTCGAAATTGTATGATTTTGTGGGGTCAATTAATTCGGGGAAAAGCCGACTCGTGCCGGCAATAAATTATACGATCTTTTGAAATTTCTATAATTTTGGGACCTAATTTAAGTAGGTACCTAACCTTGTATTTAATCTTTTCCGGGTATTGATTTATGAGTTCAACTAACTTGATGACACACGCCTGATGACTGGCTATTAGAAATTGAGCGTATTTTAAATATTTTAATTAATTTGGGGTCAACCCTAATTTGTCTCATCATTTTCCAGTTTTATTGATACTGATTTGAAATATTGGAGATTCAATTTTTAATTATATGATTGCGTTTAATTTTTACTGTTAAGACATTGTAAGTTACGGGTCTATTTTTCCCGGGTCATTACAGACGCACATGAAATTCATTATTTTTCTCGTGCAGTCGGTGCAGGTAGAGCAAATGCTATTGAGAAAAAAACTACAGGGTGATCGAATGTCACGTTCCCAAACAAAAATCTAATCAAAAAAATACCAACTCTCCAAATAAACATTTTAAAGACCAAAAATCTAGTTACGCGAAGCGAAAGGGTCTCAAAAGGAAAATTATATTTTCTCTATAAAATGCAACCCGCGCGGATGCCTGAATATTCACGGAGAAAATGCATATGACATCTCTTTGAGTAAAGTTCTCTGGCAAAAAAGTGCGTTTGTACCTAGGGCAAACGCTTTGTGCCTAATCAGAGAGCACTCGAAAGTGGAAATTCATATTAAGAGTGGCGGTTTGGGCCATATAGATATTCTGAAAAAGATGTTCATTATAAAATATTGATTGTTCAATGAAATTTCATATACAAGAAATATTTATTTTGTGTGGAGACTTTACCTGCAGTTGTGATATGTTGAGTTGACAGTGATCGAGCCGGAATACTCGGCTGCTGTGACCTTGTAAAGTGCCTATCTAAGGTTGAGGTAGCTCCTGGTCTGCCATATGAATTGTAAATTCCACTTTCCATCTATAAATTTAAAGTAAAATTGAAAAAGTTAGTTTTTAAATTTTTTGAATAGCGATGGCACTCTTACATTCTTTAAAGCATCGTGTATATTTTCCGCACTGTAAGTGAATCTGGCTGCTCTCTGCTGATTCAGTACATCTCGCGATGCTCGAATTTGCTCGTAAATTGCGGAAGTTGATGGGGTTCTACTAAGCCACTGACGGTATTCATCTGAAAGGATAAGAAATATACCTACTGGGTCAAAAATTCCATAAAAAAAAAGAATAATACCATGGGAATGCAACAGGAAAAAGTATCTTGAAATTGTACGAACCAGCAAAATAAATACTCGCACGCCCTTATTTTCTAAAATATATTAATTGATATGTGCAAAAAAAATATTGGGCTTGTTTTACATTTTTGCAAACTCAATTTTCAATCGGAAATATACAGAAACTTGTCTATGTATTTTTAATTAAATTCTTAATATATAAAATTCCAAACCCTAATATTTATGACTTATAGAATACATACACCTGCTGATTTAACCCCTTGTACCAAATCGCAGAATTTTCCTAATAATATATTGTCGGCGCTGTATCCACATCGTGAACTCAAATACTTTCCAAAGACACAAAGAAATTTAAGAATTGCTATGCTTCGAGACTTTGCGTGCAATTGGGGGCCTCTTTTTTTTGAAGAGCAAAAAGTAGAAGGGTACTTACCTCGATCTTGTCGAATCGAAGGCATTTCGGGCGCCGAAAGTGCTCCATCAGTTTCGTCTTGCAAAAGAGAGATGCTCCGGTCTCCGAATCTTTTATTCATCGCCAATCTGAAAAGGAAAATTTAAATTATATTCAATTTTTATTAGGTGTGACTTTATCGGGAACTTTATAATGTTGGTCTGGAAAAAAAAAAAAAAAACGTAGATACCTAGGTAATTATTTTAGGGAGAAAAATATGATGACTCCATTAAAGAATACAAATTAATAATATACGGCTGCAAATTCGACTCGCATCATTGAAAACGCAGAATTCGTAGAGATACATTGAAGACTTTCACTGCTACTCAGGTATAGGCACCTTTTTTACGATATATGTCGAATACGCACCATCTGTGGTTGAAAGGATAATATATTCCAACAGCCATTAATTACGAATGTGTTACCCTGGTACCTTCTAATTCTTTCCCATACCAACAGTAACCGCCGAAGGTTGTCGTTGGTCTTCACAAGTAACAACTTAAAATCGATGAAAGTCTTGGTAGAAATCAGACAGGTCTCGGTAGCTCAGTTGGTTAGAGCATTGCACTGGACATGCGAGGGTCCTGGGTTAAAATCCTAGTCGAGGTAAGAAAAATTTTGATCAATTTTAGTTAACCTCTGCATTCCACTAAATTCATTAACTGCTACTATAAAAATTAATAAAATCACTATTCGATAGATCAAGGAACATTTTTCGGCCATTTTTCGAGACACTCCAGCTATTGCAAAAATAAGTGATTATGTAACGGCTCCACCGTGTTCTCAAAATTTTTGAAAAACCGTAGGTAGTAACTGGACAGTCCTGGGAATCTTCTGATATATTTCTTCTTCGGTCTGGGCGTATCTTGTACCGCCTGAACTTCTTTTGTTGGATATGTTTTTATTCCTCCTGATGAAATGATAATGTCTGTGAAAGGTATCTTTTCCTGGAGTATTGGGAATTACTGGTCGCTAGCATTCGCCCACTCATACAGGCCTTTCCCTGAAATCTTAAACCAACTTCTTCCTGCGCAATTCGGGCTTCTGAACGGAAACGTTTCCAACAGTTTTTTACTTCTATGTCCTTCTCTGTAGCGGCCTTCTTTTGTGCAGTACTTCTGCAGAATCGTCTATAACTTTTGAAAAATATCTGCCTATGATTTGGGGCTTTCCGCAGATGTTCTCACGTCTCTCATGGGCATTTTTGGCAGCTACATAATCCAGTGCCTAGATAATGGTTTTGACTAGGGTAATATGCCTACCCATTCTATATTTCTTGTCCCATTCATGAAGTAGGCACTGAACATTTACTTGTTCAATTAGGTATTCCGAATCCTGTAGTCATGCCAGCCGGACCATTCTATGTTACTGGTCTTTTGACCCTGATGGGTACACAATACTAAGATTCTTGTTTCTGAACCTCAGCTCTAAGCCGCCTACAATAGCTGCATAATCACTTTGTTTTACGTAATGAATACTCCAAAGAGTTCCGAACGCCTTTCCGCGTAATGTCAATAGGTACATAGGTACCAGTGTTGCGACTTTCTGTTACCACTGTGCCAATAATTTCCTCTAGCAGAGGGGCCTCAAACCGTCATTTATACATCGACCAAGATGTTCCGCAGTTAAACGTAGTCAAAAGTTGGTGTTTTGAGCTGGCCGCGTACGAGAGGGGTCAACGAAATATCCATTTTGCTGCTTCTTTCGATGCTGTTCTCATCTCGTTCTATCTTCATTTCCTTCTTCAGTTTTCTATATTTCTTCTCGAATTCTCCGCGGGCCGACACGGTTTTACCTTCGACTTCCTCGCAAATGGTTTCTTATTTCAGCTTTGACTTTCACTTCTGCAGCTACGATTTCTTCTCGAAAATTCTGAAACAATCTGGCGCTCTCGTTGAAATATTTTTGTCTTCGTTCTTCTCCATTTTTATTTTTTTGAGTCATCTGTTTTCTTGTTATTTCAAAATTTTCTGGAGTCAGTCGTGTTCTTTTTGAATCTTGATTTTCTTCAAGTTATGTCTTGTTCTTGTAAAATTTTCTGGAGCTGTTCCTGTTTTTCTTTTTGCCATCTCTCTTTTTGGTCTTACAAAATTTTCCGGATCCATCCCTATTCTTCTTGCTTTCATTTTTCCTAATTTTTCAATAAAGCAAAAACCTGCTTTATTTGATCGTCCATTAAGGCGTTCTATTTTCTAGTATTCACCATAGAGGAAAAAGGTTTTTTATTCGGTTATCACACCTCTGACACCAATAACTGTTACATAAACTGGATTCGTGGATAAGCAAGACTACTGTTCCAAACCTAAATAAATTTCATTTGAAACAATAACACATCACCACAAAGACTGCTAGAATACTTCGAATGTCTGACATCAAGATTCACAAAACTATATCACTTTGACTTATCAATTCAAAAACTCGTTCAATTCTCAGAATAAACTGAATTTGGGACCCATTCGATTTAGCACTCCTCTTTTTTGCGTCGCCGGCTCCTTATACAGGGTGTCCGTTTTCGGAAATAGGTTCGGTTAAATTGGGGCTAAGTTGCGCAATTTGTTGCTCAATAAAATGGTACTTTGAAATTTGAAAAATTCCGAACACTTTCCGGGATATCCGCGAAAAAAACAAAATTTTGCAAAATTGATTCTATTTTTTTCTGAGCTTATTTGGGGAGATATTTCAAAATAAATATAACACCGTCGTCGCAGCTACTTTTTCTACTCTACAAAATGACATTATCAAATTAAAAATCTGACGTTTCGTCTTTGGACCACCATTATCAACTTCATTTTTCCAGATACGGCCCTTGATTTTCTATTTTAGATTTTAAGAGCATCTGATGTTCCAAAACCTATGACGTACCGCAATTATTCACTGTCTCTCTCTAACATTCTAAGTTCTGATGGAAAGTGCCAATAGTATAAATATTTCGAATGAGTGCAATACGTCATTGGTTTTAGGACATCATAAGCTTATAAAATTTAAAATAGAGAATGAAGTCTCGTATTTGAAAAAATGAAGTTGATGATGGTGGCCAAAAACGAAATGTCGAATTTTAAAGTTGATAATGTCATCTTAGTCTCCCAGAGTAGAAAAAGTGGCTGAGATGTAGTGACATTTATTTTGAAATATCTCTTCAAATAAGCTCAGAAAAAATATAAAATCGATTTTGTAAAATTTCGTTTTTTTTTGGATATCTCGGAAAGTGTTCGGAATTTTTCAAATGTCAAAGTACCATTTTATTCAGCATCAAAATGCGAAACTTTGTCCCAATTTAACCGACCCAGTATCTTCTACCGTTTCCTATATCCCAATGGTTGCCCTCGAAAAACGGACACCCTGTATACACATCGATCCATTCCCTAGATTATTCCAACAAGGTTAAATTCCATTGTCCAGAATTTAGGTGACCGGGTATACAGGGGTCGGTCAATAAGTCAAATATACGGGTTCGAGACATTGATTTTTTTTGCAGAATTTATTTAATGAGATAATTCAAAGCCAATAGCACTTATGTGTTTTTTGTTTTTGTTTTGGAAACATAAATAATCATTATAGGATGACTGAAATAGAAAACCGAGGGCTGTATTCAAAAACACGAAGTTGATGATAGGAATCCAAAGACAAAACGTCGATCTTCAAATTTGTAACGCTACCTATCTCATCATCGAAATTTTCCAAAAAATCCCAATTGATGCGAGTCTTACTTGAATAACCCTGTACATAAGTACCTACCATGTGCAGGCTCACGTTTTTTTTTTTTTTGTATTTGTATCTTGGAATATTCCTACCTGGTAGCACCTCGGGAATCCCTTGGAAGAGAGTTGAATTTCGTATTTATGTCGCCAGTGGTGGCTAAACCAGAGCCTTGTCGACCCAAAGACGGTATCGTGCCATGAGTTGCAGGTCCTGTTGGAGGCTCAGTTCTATCTCTGCAACAACAAAATGTATTTTGGCCGTTTCTAGAACGTTTATAATATTATTTGCTTGCATAAATATTCATAAGAAGTCCTCAAAAATTTCTACTTTAAATGAGCAAGTGCTATTAAAGGGGGTGTGCGTCAAAAAAACAACTTCATCTCAAAAAAAAGAGAAAAAAAATCTAAGAATAACAGTGAAATCCGCACCCCTCTATGACAAATAATACCGCAGATATGGCTCTATGAAGGTACCGCATCTCACCCTATGACGTCACGAAAGCTCAAGCGACGCACGAGAAAGTGGAGTTAATTAAATTTACATATGTTTCTCCTGTGTTACCTGCATTAATCTAAACAAAAACCACTCACACGTGCCGGGAACAATCAAATTACCAATGCGGAGCTCGGCTGGACGAAGTTTTCGTGACGTCACGAGACCGTCCTCCACACTTTAAAGCGCGTATATCTCAGCGATGGTTTATCGTAGAATAACGAGGTTTGAACAGTTATTCTTAGATTTTTTTACACTAAAACTTTAATTTTTGGCGCACACCCCCTTTAAGCAAGTGATCCAATTTCAAAGAACCCCATTTTGAGAAAATAACATTTTGAAAATTGAAAAATACATACCTGTAATAATAATACCCATTCCTCGAACCGACTGTCGCTTCCGTGTCGCTCGAGTAATCTAAACTGCCTCGGTTTCTCCTAAAAGTTGAAGAACCACCATACTGAGATGCACTGGTACCACCATATTTTGTTTGCAGTTGAGCTGCTACTGCGGCCTGATCCACAAACCTTTGATTATACCTGAGAGAAATGTTTTAATTGACTCAGCGAAACTGAGCGAAACTTGATTCACAAGTGGAGTTTATTGCGCATTTTACCTGCTGAGAGTTGAACCTGATTTTAAACTTGATCTAAGCAAACTGTGCCTTCCAGCCTGCGTGATGCTAGTGTAGTCAGTGTATTCGGTGTGTGGCAAATGTTGATCGGAACCTGATCGAGGCATTATTCGACGACTCCCAGTTCCTGAGTGCTGGACGTAATAGTGCGAAGAAGGACTTTGCTGCGACGACATTCTGACAATAGAGTAATATATAATAATGCACATAGGTACTTTATTACTGACACGTCTAAGGACAGTACAACATTAGGATGATAATAGGTTTGTTCAGACTTAGTATCTACTAGGTATCAGTTCTAAATGTAACCATGCTTAAGCATTGGTTTATCGATTTTCGAACCTGCAGTTCTAGAAATAGGAATTCGGGATTTTGATTTTTTGAACTATTGCCCGTTCTCACAGTTCTTGAATTTGTGCAAGTATTTGGCCGAATTTGTTTCGGGGTTATTTTTCTGTTGACTTCGAATGTCAAAACTGAGACTGAGTGCCAACGGCATCGCTTTGTTTTGTTTGGTTTGTTGTTATTTTTCATTTGTGATTTATCAAACGTGTAACTAGTTTGTTCAGGATAGCAACTAGTTCTACCTACTAATTTCACCCATATAGGTACACCACTAATCTAATTGAATTATTGAACGTTTCTTTACTCAGAACGAAACTGCAGAATTGAAAGTTCTTATCGTATTTGAAATGATTCTGAAACTACAACTCCAAACAAACCTATTTGGCCGAACAGTAACACAGGCCGATAGGCAGCGTACATGAAGCGCCTGATGTTATTCTCATTATCCTTATTCATTGTTTTTAACATAACTGATATATTTTGCAGCGGCGCGAGCTATTGTACGAAGGCGTAGGCATATAAAAAAATAATCCACTGCGTCTTTAAAATGTCGAAACTTCGAGAAAAATCCCGAGTGCTAAGTATTTCGACATTTGAGTCGAAGTGACATTTATTTCGCCTTTCAAGTGTCTTGGAAAGGATCAAAACGAAGTTAATTGCGATTGCCTAGAAAAAGGAGACCTGGAAACGGCTTGAGAAGGCCTGTCTAATGTCCAAGTATTTTGCCGTGACAGCTTTCAAAGATACAATGGGTAGTTTAATAGGAAAATATGGAACTATACCCTTTTTTGACTGCTATCCAATGTTCCTCTTTCATGTAACGTCTGATAAACGGTTTATTTAGAATATTCCCTACATGTTATATCATTATATGACAAGTGAAAAGTCCCAAAGTTCACATTTCCATTTTTAGTAGTGGCGCCGCGAGACGAGACGAGACCCAACTTACGTTTGGTCTCGTCTTGTCTCGACAAAACTCTTCACTACGTGGTGGAGGACCCTTCGAGGAACCCCAGAAAAATGTTTCAAAAAATGACAATTTGTCACATAATTAAATTAAATACCTATGTTATTACCTGAAAAATTCGAAGGTGACTAATAGAGTAAGTATTATATTATAAGGATCTGTGTTATAAGGATTAAAAATGCATAATTTTTTCACGAGCGAGGAAAAAGATGAGCTTCTAGCCCGCATGATATATACCATATTTTCCCCAACGAAGACAAATTAAGTTATTAAACAATTTAATTCTAATCCGCCGGATATATAAAGTAGAAAACAACGAGCATATTTTTGACTGGAACCAGAATTGTTAGCTTTTATGCACCTGAAAATAGTCCAAATATGTCAACTTTCTTTGACGGTTGGAGAAAATATTTTTCCTGTCGTAATTTAGAAGTTTTGCAATTTTCATAATGCTTTTATAGGTTAACAACAAATTTTTATAAACTAATACGTAATGAATCAAAAAAAGATACCTAACAATGTGTACGGAATATTGCAATTTGAAAAAAAAAAATTAAAGAAAAAGGAAGTTAAATTTCTACATTTAGCTCTTCATATTACCAAGAATGCTCGAGAAGGATATTTTAAATTATTTTTCTAGGGTCTCTCAAAGGATCCCCCGATCCCCTACTACGTAATGGAGAGTTTTTACTCTATTTTCCGGACACCCTGTATTCATAGTTTTTATTTTTATAGGTACCTACATATTATAACGGTAGTCCAATCTGCCACCGTAAAGAAGCAGTTATTATATTTAAAGAGGAACCGTGATATTTGAAAAAATATGAACGTCAATCATGTCGGAAAAAACACTTTTTGAAAAAATAATCACCCTGTATTTTTGAAGTGAAACTTCTTAGGCGGTGTTCTGATATTTGGACGACAATGGAGAGTGATCTGAAAAACGCGTCACAAGGAAGGTTCGTTGCTCGAGAGAGAAGAAAGATATAGCGTAAAGAGACGGAGAAAGACAGCTATGGATTGATATAAACCCAGTATTATAAGCGTAAAGAGGATTGCCTATTATTGACAAGCACCGATAATATTGTGACGTCACTATAGATGCGCGTCTCCTTTTAGTTATACTATTATATCATTGTGTTTTGTGATTATTTGTGTGCTGTGATTTTTATTGATTACATCCGTGAACAGTCATTTTGTTTTGGTTCGAAAAAAGGACGGTTCTAGAACGGTTCAAATTTCAAAACAACCGCACAGTTCATCAATTAACAAAATGACAACGACGGCTCGGCTATCACAAATTTCAATAATAAACTTTTTCTACTGACATTTCATAATACGCTATTAAACGATTAAAATCTGTATTATAATGAACTTCATTACGATACAGATTTTCATTATAATACTCATTTTTAATATTATACAATGTTGATAGATGGCAGCACTAGTTAAGATATTAAACATTTTTAACGGTAATTTTGCGTAAAACAATTATTTTGATAACTATAAAAAATACTTCGAATTGTTTAAAAGTTACCTAAAGTTTGGGACAAAGAATAATTATTATGGAAATAATGAGTGATAAGGAAGAATTTTTACTTTTGTCATTATTATACATTGTCAATAGATGGCGCCACCAGTTAAGAAATTTTGATTTTTTTTTTTTTTGAATCATGACAGCACTCTGTTTATGGCTTTTCCATGGTAATTTAGCGAAAAACAATAATTTCATGAAAAAAATACTTCTAATTGTTATTAAAAGTTACCTAATGTTTGGGATAAGGTATTATTATGGAAATATTGAGTGATAACGAAGAATTTTCACTAACACCTCCAGAAATTACAGAAAGGACGGCAAATGCAGGTAATAATATACTACCGGACAAGTCCAAGAAAATTTGCGAAAAATTATATGGACAATTTATGGATTGGAAACACCAAAAACACATCGTCCTTCTCAGAAAATGTTTTGATAGTATATTTTGAAGAATTACAACAAAAAATGAAACCTTCAACTGTATGGATTACTCAATTATAACATCTCTATTCAAAGTTAAGCGTAATGTTGACATATCTAAATATCATCATATCAAGTTTTATCAATGGCAGTAGAAAAAATAGTGTATGCAACTCTCATGTAATGGCCATTAATACACTCGCATGTTATATACGAAACTCGCCTGCGGCTCGTTTCGTATCCTACAACATGCTCGTGTATTAATGGCTATCATTACATGATCATTGCATAATATACTATTACGATTGTTTTGAACCGTTCTAGCTAGAACCGACCTTTTTGCGAACCAAAACAAAGCTTATATGTAATATATTAAAATTATTGAAATATTATCAAAAGGATTATAGGCGCAAAGACGATTATTGTCAAGCATCGATACCTTTGTGACCTCACTACAGATGCGCGTTTCCCTTTGTCTTTATCCCGACTCATAAGCTAAGTCTAAAAGTTGTTAGGGGGGGATAGTTTTAAGAAAGTTTCACTTCTACCACGTGTACGGCGCTGAACATGTTGTTTTTGTGAATTAATGAGATGCTTTCTAGATACCTACTTTATCTTCAGATCTTACTTCCAGTTTAGCCGAAAGTGCTTTAAACATTTTTTTAAATTGATCTCAGTACTGGCTAAACCGAAAGTGGAATCTGAAAATAAAATAGGTACCTATGTAGAAATTATCCCATTAATTGTTAGTACATTTACAAAAAACTGCAGGGTGATTCTTTCATCAAAAACTTTTTTATTGACATTTATTTTTTTTAGTTGCCGTTTTTTTTCTAATTTCATATTCAAATAGCCCAGAATAGTCCAATAATAAAGCTATGAAAGAAAAATTTTAATTGTAATCTCGAGACTCGAGACTCTCGTCGCCGAGTCTGGTCTGGTCTCGACGAGACTTCACGATACAACACCAAAAGCTAGTCTCGTCTCGAAAAGTCGAAACGAGACGAGACGAGACGAGATTAGTCACGAGACGAGACGAGACGAGATTAGTCTCGAGTCTCGCGGCGTCACTGATTTCCACAGTAATATTTAGTGTTATTTGGCGAACATCAAAAATTGATGGTAGGTCATGATTCCGGTTTCCGAAAAAGAAAATGTCAATAATGTTCCTAAATTATATTAATTGTTGTTTTGCGAGTCCAAAGTTACTTCTTCCGCAACTACTTTTACTGAGTCCTATATACAGTATGTTTCAGAAGTTTGAGAATGGTCAAATAAGTATTTCCAGAGCGGCTTGAAATAGAATTACGAAATTTTCTGCAGATGAGTAATTATTGATGCCCGATTCAATTACATTTATCATTTTTAACCGTTGTGGAAATTATTTGACTATTGCCAGACCTTTGAACCAGAAGGTTGTGTTGTCATGTTCCAGAAGCCGCGTAAAATAGGGATATAATATAATATATTGCAATGAAAATGAAGTGGTATTCCTATTTGAAAAAACGAAGTTACCTACATTATCTGAAAACCGGTAAACTTGGCAACATTCTCGCTATCATTACCCATGGAGAAAATTTCGTAATTCTATTTCAAGCCGCTCTGGAAATATTTGACCGTTCCCAGACTTTTGAAACACAGTGTATAGCTATCATTAGCATTTCCAATAAAGATATTAGTAGGTATCATATTGCCGGACCTGAGGTTATGAACCAAAAAGTAGCGCAAAGTACAAAAGTACATAAAACTATATTTTATCTCAAGATATATGCAATATCAATGCCATCTTCTTAAACTTAGAGAAATTTCAGATTCCAATGTCGAAATACTCGGCACTTTGAAGTCGAAATTTTGTCTTTCTTTTTTCGAGATTTTGACATTTGTCGAAATGGGTTATTTTTTTAGATG